AGAACCACGACTGTCCCAGCAGGTGATGCACTCATCCTGCACGGTTTGCAGTGGTTCAGTGGGGACAGAAGAGCAGAGCCAGAAGAAAACCCAAGGCCCCTGACTCCATCACAGCTGCTTCGCGAGGTTGCAGGTGTCCTCTGGGAGATGACGGCTGTGTTGTAGGTCCCCCTGGTAACACCTGGATTAAAGTGTTATCTTTATCCAGGAAAACATCTCGGCAGCAGGATGGGTAGGGATGGGAGAAACCCACGGTCTTCATTGTGCCCTCCCAGGGCCATTCCTGCCTCTTATTTTGCTCCAGCCTCAGCCCAATCCATCCTCCATTAGAAGGAATGGCAAGAGTCTCCCTTTAATATGGTGTCAGTTGGACTTGATTTTACATCCAGCAACGCAATGAGTGATTTTCTGTTTTCCTTCCAGACCTCTCTGATCTTTTGCCACTCTCCTTTCAGCTTCCTCAGTCCCGCAGCTTTTCTCGGAGGGTTTGTTTTTTTTTTTAATTTCTATCAGATTCTTGAAATGCATCTTTCTATTTATTGATTTCACCTGACAGCTAAAGGAAGGCAATGCAAGAGGCTCAACTAACTCCAACATGCCCTCGCAGCTCATCAAAGCAAATTTAGAGCCTTGCTAGAGCTGCCAGGGCAGCACAGCCCCTGGGCTAAGGCACTGGCCTCATCGGAGTGACACATCCATCTCTTTAGGCAGCGTTTTTTAATTTATATATACATACATGCTACCGCTTACATCAAGTTATCACTCTTGCCAGAGCATCTTTCTTCTCAATCTCTTGTACACACTGTAATGGTACTTCTGGGAGTGTGGGCTCGAGGGTGCAGGAAAAGCAACTGCTTGTGATAGCAAGTTTTGATTTTTTTAGAAATTTCTGTTGCAGAATCACTACTTAAAATGATCTGGAAGAAAAAGAGAAATGGTGGTGGGAGGAGGAGAAGACAACTTGCTGGCGGCTGCAGTAGCACAGGGAGCAATGCACACTGCTTCGGGGCATGAGGCTGCATCAAGCCCCTGTGCTTGCTGTGCCTCAGTTTCTCCATCCTCCTTGTTTGATAGCTTCGTGCTGGAGAAGGCTCCATCTTTCCCGTGGGACTGCCAGCTGTGTTACATCCACACTCCTGCCCTGTCTTGGAGACAGAAATTCTGGCAGCATTTCTATAGAGAAGCAAGAGGTGAAATAAGCCCCCTCGCCAGTTAATTTTCCCTCTCTGCTCTGTTCTCCTAGCCTTGCCATAGCACCTGTGAGAGAGGCAGAAAACGCCATCAAGAGGGACTAAAGGGCAGGAGAGTGCCAGCGCCCAGCTCAGTCGCTGCTTGGTTTTTCGCGTGGTTGATGGAGGGGGGTCCCTCTCAAGCCTTGAACGCTGCTGGCTCCCAGAGGTGAAAGGAATGTGGTTTTTTCTCCTCTTTCTTTTCTTCCTCCCATACACAAAGGCCAGATAATTTTGCACTAACAAGCCACTTTCATTCTTAACCATGCTGTCACTTCGTGGTGCAAAGGCAGGCCTCAGGACGGGTGTTTGCTGGTGGGAGAGTGGCCGATCCTCCCCATGACCCCATGTTACATTTGTGGGAGCAGATTTGTCCCTTCCTTGCCGGAAAGGCTCTTCCGTGGGATGCAAGGTCCCGCAGCTGACTGCAGAGCTGTTGGGCTCTTTCGGAAAGAGCAGTATTTCTTTGATAGGGTTTTTCCTGCGATGACCTCTTCGGCGGCACGTCCTCAATAACAACACCTGCCACCACAGGAGACTTCCTTTCCCACCACTGCCGCAGGCTGGGGCGCTCCAAACCCCGGCCAAACCCAGGCCATTGAATCTGCAGCAAAACCAAACTGCATCGGGTTTATGCTGACCAGGGCAAAAGTAATGGAGGGCAGGTTTCTTCTTTGAAGCTTGCTCTAAGGTGTTTATTATCGCATTCACGGCAGCTCACCTCGAGCCATGGAGAAATCCCGGTGAGCCTCCTTGGATTCTCCTCTATCTGCCCGGGAGCTTTCCTTCCCCACCATTTCTTTGTGTGTATCCCACTGCTTGGACCTGTAGTTTAGACTTTTGGCTCAGGTAGAAAAGGCACCTGGAGGCTGGAGCAAGGTGTCCCCCAGCCCAGGCTGTCCGGGCAAGGTGTCTTGGGGTGCAGGGGGTAAGCAGTGCCCTTCTGTCTGCTGTGTCTCATAGCCCCGCTGCAACGCGCAGGCTGTGTAATGGAAAGATCCTGATGATAGCTAAAATCACCAGCGCCTTCATGACTTTGTACCTCTGGGAAAGCCCAGCTCTGTGTCAACAGGCTGTGCGGAACTCCGGCTTCGCGTTTCTGCTTCATTCCCATCCTTAATCCAGCGGATAGTTCCCGGCGCACGTGCCCTTTCGGGGCTGCGGCCAGGTCAGTGGGAACGCAGCCAAAGATAAGGGTAAACATCGGCGTGCCAGAGGAGGCGGCTCTGCGGCAGCAGCTCCTCCTTCGCTGCCTCCGTGCTGCTGCAGACGGGTGGGGAGAGCACTAGGGCAGCCCAGCAGCACGCTGGAGGGGTCCAGGGACACAAGCAATGTCCCCGAGCTGTCACTGCCATGCAGATGCCCCAGCCGCAGGTGTTTCTGCATCTCAGGTCTTGGTCGATGGTGATTTTGCACTTCCAGGCTATACCTCTGCCGTGTTTGCTGGGGTGCTTGCAGACCCGCTCTGCTCGCCTCTCCGGCACCGAGCGAAGCTGTGACTGCCCCAGGGATGCTGAGCCTGTGCCCGCATCTCAGCCACCCCCAGTTTGCTGGTGCTGGGACCAGGACATCAGCATTTGGTGAGCAGGGGACTGATCTTTCTCCTTCGCTGCTCATTTGCCTTGCATTGTTCCCAGCTCCAGCACCGAGGAGCTGCGTTGCTGCAAGCTGCATCCCCCTGTGCTGGGCCAAACCTGTTCTCTGCATCCTCCTCCTCCTCAGTTATATTGCAATTGCCATTTCAGGCAGTGCACAAACTGACTTTTCTGCTGCAGATGAGCTTGAGGTAGACCTGGCCATGCACTCAGATGGAGAAGGGTATGCAAGACCCCACAGCCGAGGCGCTGCCCCGACGCAGGGCAGTGCTGACCCTGGCAGCACAGGGTGACACCATCGTTCCTCTCTGCGGCATCGGGCTGGCACACCTGGTTCTGGATGATCTGGATTTCAGTCCCTCTACCCTGGATACCCAGGTTCTGATAGGCTGATTATTTTAAAAAAGTCATACTAGGACTGCCGGGGAGAAGGCACTCATCTTCTGGGGTTATGAGGAGAAGGCACTCATCTTCTGGGGTTATAAGGGGTTATGCCCCCTTAGCACGTGACTGGGGCAGGTTTTACTAAAGGCCAGAAACACGTGGGGCTGATCGCTGTAATTACAGCAACTTTATTTATTACTCTGGGCTGTGATGGCGTGAGGCCTGGTGAAGAGCTGCCCTTGTCTGCCGACTTCAGCCTCCCTTCGGGAGAGAGCTGGGCTAGGTTTATGTGGGAAAGCCTTGCAGCAAGTCCATCCACGCTACTTTTAATGCCTTGCACGCTGCAAAGGAGCCCAGGAGGTCCCGGGCAGGACATGGCTTGGTCCAGCTGGGAGCAGAGCAGCAGGTGGCCTTCACACAGCAAGCTCTCCTTGAGTTTTCTGGACCCAACACCAGCAGCAGCTCCCACCTCTGCAGGAAACACAGCGGCACGGGGCTGCCTGTCCTGCATGAACCAGGCTGTCCCCTCCCAAAATCTCATTTCTGGAACAACCAATTCTTGTTTTCTCACTAATCACCAGCTTCTCTTGCTGCTTTGAGTTGGTGCGACAGCAGCACAAGTCAGCTGAGGTGAAACAGCTGCTTTAAGCCATTTCCCATCCCCTGATGGAGCTGAGGGGGGGGGGTACCCAGTGCAGGCTGGGGCCAGCCACCACCACCATGTATCATTGCATCCATTCTGCCAAGCTGACGTTCCAGAAAGACTCAATGCTTGGGTGTTCAGTCTTGTAAGGAGGGATCCCGTTATGTTATTCTGGTTTCTTGACATAAAGTGATGCTTTCTTCCCCAGAGTCGTACTCTTGCTAAGAACAGGGACATGACAGGTGGCATCTCTGTGGACTCTGATCTCCGGGGTTGAGCCAACACCCTCCTTGCCCTGGGAAATGTAAAGTCAAGCTTCTTAAAGGTGTCATTGTACCATCAATAAAGAGATAGAAAAGCCATAATAAACATGACACCAGAGATCAGTTCCCACACCAGGAGCAGCAGAGGGCTGGGAGACTGTTACTGGTATGTCCTTATGCAACCCCAGCAGTGAAGTGCCGATGTCAAGGCACACCAGGGTGCACCGGGAGCACCGCGTGCGTTGCTGGGACCTGTAACCTCCTGGTGCTCAGCCCCTGCACAGCGTCACCCCCAGCCCAGCCCTCCGAGGCAGTAACAACCCTGCAGCTGGGTCTCTCCCACCCTGGCCGGGTGCTGGGGGTTTGCTGCAGCAGCTCCGAGGGAGGACACAGCCAAACAGTTGCATTACCAAAGTGAAGTCCTGCAAAGCCCACTGGGGCAGGGAAGGGACCACAACCTTTCTACAAGCAGCAGCCCTGAGAGCTACCTCTGGGGCTTTGGCTGGACAGGGGAACGGCCGTCTTGGACACCACTGCTGGGAAGAAAGTACAGACCTGGAAAAGGCCAGATATGAATATGCATGCATAGCCGAAATGCTCCCTTTGAGGAAAGTCTTCCTCCCCTATTAAGTAATTAAATAAAGCCCCAAGCTCTACTAAATTTAAAATAACAGAATCCATTTATTCTGGCAGGGCCCACTGGTGGCTGCTCTTGCCAAAAACATTTTTGTGGTTCTTGTCTTTTCAAGTGGCTCTTTTGCAATAAAACCCAGATGCCATTAGTCCAGGGAGGCCTCCAGGCAACTGTTTACGTCCATGAAAGATGCCCTTTGTAATTAATTAATCTCCCAAAAGCTGTGGTAGCACATTCCCTGTGGCTCCTGGCATGTCCCTGCCCACCGGCCCTGGCAGCAGAGGTACGTGCTCATTCCTAGGCGCTGAAGAAAGCTTTTGTGTCGCAGCCTTGCCACCAAAGGGGTTAATCGCCTCCTTGGAAAGACACAGCAGAGATTTCAACACTTATCAAAACACAAACAGAAGTCAGCTCGCCTTCCTGCTGCCCTTGCCCTGCCCGGTTCAGCCCCGGCTGCCGGTGCAGCAGCTCCTGCTCTTGCTCAACAGCAAATTGCAGTTGCAGGAGGCTGCGTTACAGGGGCAGGGATCAGCTGGGGACTGAGCCGGCAGGCGATGGGGAAGGGGGGTACGACCTGGTTCCTGCGCCCCTTTGGGGGTTCAGGTGCTTCTAGATGACACAGTCATTGTGGAGTTTCCAAACCAGAGGGCAACAACACAACACCTGAGAAATGTGGGCTTGGTGCACGTGGGGGAAAAGGTGATTCATGAGATTGCCCTGAGCAAAAAACCATGTGAACAGCTGCACTGCGCCAGAGCACAGAGCCGTCCAGCCCAGTGCCTTCTTCCAGATGGTGGCTGCTATCGGGTATCTACAGAAGTGTACAAAAGTTGGTGGTTTGTAGGGCTCCTTCTCCTGTTATCTCATCCCAGTTGGGGCTTCCCTGCAGCTGAAGTGGCTCTGGACTCTCACATTTCATTGCCACCAACTCATTTCATCGCCACCAACTCATTTCATCGCCACCAACTCATTTCATCCACTGTGAATTTGGCCAGTCTGTTTCTGAACCATTTACACTTTTGGCTTTTGCAGCATCAGGTGATAGCAAATCCCACTGTAGAATTATGCGTCTGCTCAGCAAGGGGCATCCTCATGCTGGTTTTGGACACGTCTCCATCCTTCGTGTCAGCAGCAATTGCCTTTATGTCTTCACATCCTTCAGGATGCGCGAGAGCTCTCTCATACCCCTCAGCTCATTTCTTCTCCAGCCTGAATGTCCCTAATTCATGGAGTTTCCCCCAAACAGAAACCCTCAGCAGAGACCAGCAAAGATTTGGCTTCTCTAGGACCCTGTCTGCTCAGCCTCGGCGTCACATGGTTGCAAATAGAAAGAATTGCTTTAGGAAGGGTCAGTCCTTGCTGCCTCATTTGTAACATAACGACTCAGCCTGGGGTTTGGTTGTTATTGGTATTTTTAGCTGTTGTTGGCTTTTCATTGTTGCTTTTTTGATAGATGAGTTTAATTTTGCTGGCATATTGCACAGGTTTGCAAACCAGATGTTGCTGCTGCGAGACGGTAACAGCAACATGGGCAGGGAGCAGTTCATCATGGCCCATGGGTGTCGCAGCCGCGGTGAGGTCAAAGCCGAGGGGTCAGGGGTGGGGGGGGATGCAGGTCCCTGCTCCTCGGGACCTGGGACTGCAGTTGCCATGAGAACTGCTGGTGGCACAGCGGTGAACCTCGCCAGTGCTGCAGCCACCGCCCATCCATCTCCCATTCCCCCCGGGAACGACCGGACCGTTGGAAGGAGACCAAGCTGTGCAGAGGAAAACTGCTGAGAGCCTGGAAGGAGGGATGGGCTTGTGTAACCAAATGATGATGGTGTGAATCACTGATGTTTTGCCGACGCTGGCTCCTGTCCGGGGGTGATATATGAGGTGATGCAAATGTGAGGGGATGGGATGTGGTGTGGCAGGCAAGGGGGAGCAAGGAGAGGAGCTGAGAGTGCCCAGGAGGAGCAGACGGACGGCCGCTCATATGGCTCCCACGCCTTCCTGGCTTGCCTTGTTTAACACGGAGGAGCTGAGGTTATCCTGTGGCCAAATCCTGCAGTCCCTTAGCAAATGATACCCAACGCCTCGCCCCAGAGGGCTTTGAACTCTCAAGGGGACCGTGGAGCAGGATGGACCCTGGCCCGAGCCCCAGGCCCCTTCCCGCTCCCAGCTGGGAGAGCTTCCCGAAGCAGCCTGCGTGTAGGATTTCTTTGGGTGGAAGAAGGAAATCGCTGAGGTCAGGGGGCTGATATTGCACATTTTTATGTGACATCAGCTTGCTGCCACCTTGAAAATACCAAAAGATAGAGTCTTACATCCTGGCCCCTGAAAATCCCTTGTGCCCTGCAGGAAGGGAGTGTTGTTACTCCAGAAATTCACTGTTATTCCAGGGAATTTAAGCCAATGTGCAGGAAACCCCAGTGTGGGCAGGGAGGAATTTAAAGGGACAGGACATTCCGATTGTAGAGATGTGCTCTGTTTTTACAGTGCCATTTCAAGAAGGGAGGTGAGATCCCCCTCAAGAAGGGGGCCTTAAATAGGCAAAACAGGTTTAGATCTAATTCTAGGTAAATTGGCAGCCAAAGGAAGTGGGAAATCAGGAGTGTGTTTAGATTCTTTGCTGAATCAGAGCCTCCCGACTATCCACGCAAGGAGGAAAGCAAGCTGGGCTGGAGGTGTGAGGCTCTGGAGCATCCTGCCCTTGGTACCCAGGACATCCCCGGAGCACTGCCTCCGCTCAGCTCCCCCCACCCTGCCCAGGGGCATTCGGCACTAACGTGTCCCTCTCTCCTCTCTCAGGGACCTCATGCCCAGGACCCTGGAGGGACAGATCACCATGGAGAAGACCCCCAGCTACTTCGTCACCAAGGAGGCCCCAGCCCGCATCTCCTCCATGTCCAAGGGCACAAAGCTCATCGTGGTGGTGCGGGACCCCGTGACCAGAGCCATCTCGGACTACACCCAGACGCTCTCCAAGAAGCCCGATATCCCCACCTTCGAGAGCCTGACCTTCAAAAACAGGACTACAGGTCTGATCGACACCTCGTGGAGCGCCATCCAGATTGGCATCTACGCCAAGCACCTGGAGAACTGGCTCCTCTACTTCCCCATCGGGCAGATCCTCTTCGTCAGCGGGGAGAGGCTGATCAGCGACCCCGCGGGGGAGCTGGGCAGGGTCCAGGACTTTCTGGGCCTCAAGAGGATCATCACCGACAAACACTTCTACTTCAACAAAACCAAGGGGTTCCCGTGCCTGAAGAAGGCGGAAGGCAGCAGCAAACCCCACTGCCTGGGGAAGACGAAAGGCAGGACCCACCCTGACATAGACCAGGAGGTGGTGCAGAGACTGCGGGACTTCTACCGGCCCTTCAACATGAAGTTCTACCAGATGACGGGGCAGGACTTCGGCTGGGACTGAGGCTGGCGTGGGAAAGTCCCCTGTAATTACTTGCTCAGCACGGTTTGCGTATATAAAGAGATATATATGTATGTAAAATGTACAGAAATCTATTTTATAATAATTTATTTTTAATTCCTAAGCAATTAATTCACTAAGCTGCCTAACCGCACTGGCTAGAACGGTAGCCCGTAACCTGTTTAACATTCCACGGAGTTTAATTCTAATATGTCTCTCCTTTTCTATTTTTTTTTTTCTCCTCCTGATTTCTCCTCTTATTGGTTTGGTTTGTAACAAACAGTGCTTCCATTTTTCCTAAACAAAATTTGTATTTTAAAAAAAATCAGAAAAAGTGAGGGTGGCAGGGGAGGGGCGAGGAGGGAGGGAAAGCACAAATTTATTTTTGTTACGGGTATCTGGCCTTTATAAACACTTGCTTTCCCTATTCCGGTGTCCCAGTCTCTGCTCCGGTGTTGTGCTCCCGCGTCCCACAGCTCTCCGGTTAGTCCCGCGGCCCCGGGGGGGTTTCCCTGGGGCGGGTGGGGAGGGAGGCTGGGCATCTCCCTGCAACCCACGTACCTCTGCTGAGCAGCAGCGTGTCTTACCGGTGGCTGTGAAGCGCAGGGAACCCCAAGCCATACGGCTCCTGCTCTGCAGCCCCGGACTCTGCTGGGAGGGTAACACGCTCGTTTTCTAGCAGAGAAGACGCAGAGCCTGTTGCATGGGCAGAGCTGTCTCCTCCGTATACTTTTCCTTCTTGCCTTTTGTCAAGGAGGCTCTTTCCCACGATCCCTCTATGCATTTTAAATCTTTACTGCAGGACAAATGTAAAAGTATATGTATCTGTATGTGATACGCTCGGTGCTGGTCTGAATGACTTGAAGGAAGCGTCGCTCCAGGGGTGCCCATGCGCCCAGGGCACCACTGGGAGATGGCTGCGCCGGCAGTGCGGGGAGCAGTGTCCACCCACCAAAGATGCCGGCAGACCCGCGGAGCCACGTGAAAACCCCAGGTCTCTGCTTGGAGCAATTCCCAGCATGGAGGGTGTCGCAGGACACGGTGCAGGCAGTGCTACCTCCCGCCCTGCAGCCCCCGGTGTGTGAGACTGGGGAACGTCAGCCTTGGCCCTCTTGACTCCCAGTACTTTTTGGTCCAACACCTTATCCATGGTCTCTCCCAAGGAGCAGCACTTGCCTAGAGCCTGGAAGAAGCACTGCTTTGCCAACGAGGATGAATCTGTAGAAAAGCAGGGGGCTGTACTTGGGTCGGGGTGTTGCTGGCAGCCCAGGCGTCGCCGGGTGCCTCCTTGATGCCCTGGGCGAGCACAGGGGTGGCAGCCAGGCAGGAGAGGAGGCTCCGAGCTCTTATCCATCAACCCAGGCACAGTAACCTGGAGATCCTTCACCTCAGGTGGAACCAAAGGCTTTGGGGCATTAGGCCAGGGTGGCGGGGCTCTCCTGAGAGCTCTAGCCGTGTTTTGCATCCTCAGGAGGTTTTGATAAATACCATGTGTGTCGGATGCCTTATCGTTACTGTCAGAGGTTCTGGTAGCTCAACTGGAACATTTTTGGAGCAAGGTCACAGCAGAAGTGATTTGCTCCTTGAATTTTTACCGGAAGCAGGGCCGTGTTGTCTTTGGGCAGCAGAAAACCCATGCATCTCACCTGCAAGCTTTGAAAGAATGTCCCGCACCGAGCGCGGAGCTTGCCGGTTAGATCTCGTGTGTTACTGTGTAAACACTTGCATAGAGCAAGCAGTGTAAGTAAAACTCGAAACAGCAAATGCACCAACGGGCAGGGCATATGTGAGTTACTGCTCTAGTTTCATACGCATTGCCTGTGTAAACGCATGCCCTGCACCTCTCCCCGGTCCCCCATCCACCTTTGAGCATCACATTGCTGAGCCATGCCCAGCTGTGGTGAGGTGTTTTCAGTGGCATTTCCCAGATGTTTCTTTTACTTTTGCAGCCTCCTTGCTCTTGCCTGCCCCTTACAGCTCTCTGCTGGGGCTGTCTGGTGATGAAAAGGCCCTGCGGAGCCTGGCCTGCTCTCCCCGGGTCTTGATCTGGTCCTGCTCAGGTGGCTACAGCGAAGAGCAGACCCACGTCTGGGTCCGCTGCAGGGATCGGCAGGTAAAGCGCTGCCCTTCAGTGCTTGCTTTGAACCTAAGGGCTCTTGGCTTGGCTCAGCGGTGTCACACCTCTGACGGGATTTAGGGACTTGCACCCCCGTCAGTGCCGGTGAGACGCATGTGGGTTCATACATGGGGTGCAACGCGCTGCGGTGTCCTCAAGGAAAGGCAGATGCTAAGTGTAACGTCAGGACTGAGCTGCCCAGCAAACCTGCTGTGAGCGGGATGCCAGTCCCTCCCTGGGGTTTGCCTCCAAGCACATCTTTCTACTAAAAGGGACAGTTGGGCAAATCCTCTCCCTTTTTGCCCTGAGCCAGTTCTAGCAGCGAAGCGACGCTTCGGACTGACGCGATCCCGCTTCCAGAGGTCACGGGCGTGGGTGTGGGACCTGCTGGGCTGCGCAGGTTGACAGACACCACACACCACCCCCCTCCTGCAAAACCCAGCTGCAAACTCAAGTGGTAGTTGGATCTATGCATGCTTGGGGTCTTTGGTTTTTGCTCCAGCCAGGTCGCCGGCTCTGTTCCTCGCTGCCAGGACAGGTGATGC